CAATGATGGTGCCAACTTGGGCCAGTGAAGCAACGTCCTCCACTACTAGACTGAAGTACAAAAGGACAGCAACTTGTCTGTTCCTGTTCCCCCAATTCCCTAGCGCTGTTCCCATCCCCTAATTCCCCAATAAAAAAATCTAAAAAAAAATAAAGAACCCAGGAGCCAGCTTGAAGGGGCTCCCACTGGCCAAATCAGGGACAAGAGGACTTCAAAATAAATGATAGTAACAAACTCACTGACTAAAATAGAAAAAAACCATGCGACCACAGATCTATTCAGTGAGTAAATGAAAAATCTGATGAACAGAATATTTACATATTTTAAAAGTACCTCTTCCCCACAAATTCTTATGAATCATGAAGGAGAAAAGAGTAACTTTACGGTGGGAAGCCTGGCAGACAACACCTTCATCAAATGATCTAAATGACCACCACAGGCGTGGGACAAATTAAAATCGTGCGCTAGCTGATGCAGTGAAAAGAACACATTCTCACATTAGTGATATTCCTGTCAAAAATGAATAAACTGCATCTAGTCATGAGAAAACATCAAACAAACCCAATTTGAGAAACATCCTAGAAACTGCCCTGTAATTTTTCAAGAGCGTGAAAATCATGCAAGTCAAGGAAAAACTGAGGAAATGACATAATTAAATACAAGATGTGATTCTGAATGGGATCTTTTTACTATAAAGAATGTTACTGGGACAATCTGGGCCACGTGAGTGGGGTGTGAGAATTAGATGGTGGTAATGTATCAATTTTCATTTCCTGATGTTGATGGTTGTACAAACTGTTTGTAGGAAACTCATACTAAAGTATTCACAGGTGATGGAGCACGAGAGCATCAGGTTGGCAACTTACTCTCACATGGCTGGGGGGGGAGGTTCTTGTTATCTACTTCCAACTTCTAATTCTGATTGTTTCAAAATAAAAAATCATACCTCGTTGGAAAAAATATATATAGCTAACCATCTTGGAAGAAAACTGTGAGGTTTAAATGAAATAGGATATTAAAATTACTTGGAGAAAGTTAAAAGTGTAATAAAAATGCAAGCTACATTACTACAAAACCAAAGTCCTACAGGTTTCCTGTGGATTATGGCTGACAAATCATCTTTAATCATGGCTACTGTCCATCCTTAATGCTAGGTGTATATAATCCATGTTAATTTCAGATATCCAGAGAACCAGGCAGACAGACCACAAGCAGCAAGTTCTTCTACGTGGCCTATATCCCATACCTCTCCTCTTGATGAGTCCTTACTCGGGGATGAAGATGATGAATGAGGTGCAGCCACCAAAGAAGTAGCACCAATGGCTGCGGCTGGAGGGAGTTCTCGCTCTTCATTCCCTGGACGTCGGTTCCAGCTGGGGTCACTCATGGGTCGCCGGACAGAAGATACTATATCAGAGCTCCTGCTACGAACTAATCTCTCAGGGTAAGAATGCCTTTGCTTAAATGCCTCCATTTCTGCTGGAGTTAAAACATGGGAACCAAAGTTTGGCAACCTGGCCTCATTTCCTCCCACAGCTCCTTCCAGGATTGGGGGGTCTGGCGGTGGATGCGATGGCCTGGCGTAGTGAACCTTTGGCCTCACCACAGCAGAAGCCCCTGGAACACAGGAAAAGAGTTTGCAGCTGAGACAACGGACCCAACAAAGGCATTAACAAAGGGTTTTTGTTTTGTTCTTCTGTCCATAAGACAGGGCTCAAAAAGCTCACTTGATCATCATTTCACAATATATACAAATATTGAATCATTATGTTGTATACCTGAAACTAATATGATGCTATGTCAATTATATCTCAATTAAAATAAAAGTTCATCTGACCAGTTTACCTTCATGTGAAGACAGTGGATCGAACATGGCAAGCAGAGAGTCTGGCTGGGAAGGAGGCGAGGTCAGCTGGTGGGCACCTAAATCACACAGGCAAAAAGTGAGACCCAGTCAGAACTCCTGACTCCGGGAGTTTCAACACAGGAAAAGTGGTTCTGGCATTTGCCCCGTTTCAAATGTTTCTGACCCATTAGAACTTGAGGGGGCATAAAAAGAATCTAATAAATACCAAATTTAGACTACTCCAAATTCAGTTTATGTTTTCTTCTACCTACACCAATTTCAATTACATTTAAGTGGTCTAACATCCATGTGTGTACTACTTCTAATGGCCAAATCGTATCAAAGTTAATACAAAGAGCACTGAGCCAGAAGGTGTAAATCATCAACAATTTCATAATTTTACAAATTCCGAGCCTCACCTTTCATCTATAAAAATCGGGGCAACACAACCTACAGAAGCAGTATAAATAAAAAGTTGTAAAAATTGAAATTCTAATACTGTTCTCAGCAAATGACAATTTATAAAGAATATGAGTACATTACACAATGAGACAAACTTGAATTTTCTAAAGTGCATTATTTTAAGCTACAGTGTAAAACATGACTCCTCTAACCATGTCTAAACAACCAAAATCAGAAATATTAAAATAGTTAAGTGTGCAGAGGCTCACACTTTAAAATATATAAAAGGAACTGTTATTCTAAACTTTTTTAAGTCTGAGCTATCTTTCTTGATAATGATAGTATTATTATGTCTTTTGATTTTTCCTTTTGTTCTGTATCTTATATTTACCTTCGTTTTCAAAAATTATAGAAATAGTATATCATTATGAAAACTAGCATAGAATATTGGTTTTCAAAATTCTGGTCTTAGGATACCTTTACATTCTTAAAACTTACTCACTGATTTATATCTATTGATATTTACCATATGATAAATTAAAACTGAAAATATTTATGTATATAAATCCATTTAAACAAACCCATTAAATGGTAACACAAATAACCCTTTATAATGAAAACTAATATATTTTCCAAAATAAAAAAATAAGAAGAGTGACACTCTTTTACATTTTTGCAAATTCCTTTAATGTATGGCTAAATAGAACACAGCTGGATTCTCACATCTGCTTCTGTTTTCAATTGGTTGCAATATGTTGTTTTGGTTGAAGTACATAAAGAAAAACTGGCCTCACACATGTAGTTGGTAAGGGGATATTTTAATAGCTTTTCAGATAATTGTCGATATACTTCTTTCAAACTATACCAAATCTTGACAAGTAGTTTTTAAAGGTTAGCTACAATGTGGAATCTGAAACCAAGTCAATGAACTTTTCATACTGTTATATTAAAATTAATTGGTCTGCCTTGCACCATAAATAGATCTTTTACCCATGCATGACTTTGTAACATCATGCACTGATCATCTGGAAAATATTGCTTCAATTAGATATGCAGATCTTCCAAATGTTGACACATTCAACATATCATATAGAAAAATAACCACCAATCTCACCAGAAAAGTCTTAAATAGTGGGAAGCTGTCAAGCTCATGGAGGTGGGCACAAATTTTCCAAAATTCTAATTTTCATCTGAAAGCTTGAATTTTATCATTGGCAACAAACTACTTTGTCAGTTGTTTTCCTTGAAGTGACAGGCTCACTTTGTTGATTTTCAAGAAATGTCTGCCAAATACCCAAGTGTGAATAACTATCGTTTGTCTATCAGTCATTCTTCCAAGTAAAAATGGTGTTTCATGAAACACAAATAAACAAGCAAACAAGAAAAAAACCAACTAGTTAAGCTCACAATTCAAATAATCATGTAAGTGCTTTTCCTGGAGACATTTCACCATATATCAGAATGCACCAGAAATGAGTTGGGGTACTTCCTATTTCTTCACACAGAATATTAAAAAGATGTGCATTTAAGGGTTGAGATGTAATTAAATAATTTTCCTTGCTTCATCAAAGATATTCATAAGTAAAGCTTTTTTTTTCACCTGCGAGAGAATACAATGACTTCTGGCATGGTTTGGTGCTACTGCCTTGTTCATGCTAAAGGCCCAAGCAAATGTACCCACCTTGTTTTTTTTTTTAGCTGAGCCATCCTGCCACCTGTTGGCAGCTCAGCTCAGGCAAGGAATCAAACCGCTGTTGCTCAGAGCTCACACTCTTGAGCGAGCTCTTAACCAACTGAGCCACTCGGCCAGCCCAAATGTACCCATCTTTGCTTGTGCACCATCAGCGCAAAAAGTCAACACAGTGAAAAGGACAATAACCTTTTGTTAAATAGTTTTTACCTTATACCCGCCCCCCCCCCGCCCCCACACCTGCAAAAGGGTATTCAGTGGTCCACTACAACTTTGAAAACTGTTGGTTTAGAAAAGTGTTTCTCAACTGGGGCTATTTTGCCTTCCAAGGGCTCAATTGGCAATGTCAGGAGATATTTTTGATTGCCACACTGCAGGGGAGGGAGGGAAGTGGTGTGATCCTGGTAGAGGCCAGAAATGCTGCTAAACATCCTACAATGCACAGGACAGGTCCCCACAACAGTTATCTGACCCCAAATGTCAGTAATGTTGAGGATGAGAAACCTTGTTTTAGAACAAAATATATATATATGGAAGGTACCCAGTACCAATATATAAAACCATTGCTATCATTTTGGTATTTCTTTTCAGTGCTTTCTTTATGATAGGTTTTTAACATTTTACCTTATATGCATTAAAATTCTTTAAATTTTCCAGGTGATATTATGTTATAGGTATTTTTCCATTATTTCATATTCTTTAAAGCATTTAAAAAGTAGCTGCATAAATTCTAATAAGTGGTTAGGTCAAAATTCACTTAGGCATTCTATTTTTCCATTCTTAGGTTGTTTCTAATTTTCTGCCAATTTACAAAGAACATTCTTATGCATAATGCTTTATAAACAGGACTGTGTCCTTATGACTGATTCCTAATGTAGACTAACTAGACCAAATTTAGCATGTTAACTTTTAAGGTCTAATATATGTATTGCCGAATGATGCCCCAAAGTGCTGTGACAGTGGACATTATCACCAGCAATGTGTTAAGACTGCCAGTTTCACCCATAAATGTAATTGTTTTTAAAAAGTTATTCCCATTTCCCCTTCTTACCATGAGTTACTTCATCCATGTCTGGACTAGTGACAGAATCTTTACCCCCAAAATCAGAACTGCACTCAGATCTCAAGTCTTCAATCTTATTGGGAATATCTTCAGAGGTTGCACTTATGCCTTTAAAAACAACAACCAAAAAAAAAAAAAAGCAAAAAATAAACAGCAAGAAGAACAAAATAACCACACAAAAAGTATATGAGGTTTGGATAAATATACACATTCTCAAATTTTTTGTGTCCCAGTTCTATACATGTGAGCTATTTGGTTATTATATCCCTTGCTTAAATACATTTACCTTGATTTGTACAACACAATCAGAATGATCATGTGGTATCTATATACAGTAGCAGAGCCTACCAAGAACAGATAAGTTACATACAGACTGACTGCTAATTACTTCAACAGGTGCTATAAGTCACACATTCAATTCTCATAGATTTAAGGTGCCATAGAAATAATTGTGTTTCCTGAAGATTACTCAGCTCTTAAATAAAACATTATCTCTTTGCTATCAAGTTTATAAATGGGGAGATGGGAACACACCTTGAAATCCTTATTCCTTGAAACAAGACAGACATACCCGACACAACACTGAGGCCTGGTGTGCTGGGGCGGGAACTGACCTCCCTGACATCCGTATCATCAGATGTGCTACCCAGTCCCGAGCAGCTCTCCAGTTCCTGAAGACGTTCCTCCTGCTTTAGATCTGGGGCCTCTAAACAGAAGATGGGAGGTGTCACACTGGTGATTCTGTTAGCATACCACCATTTCAGCTTTTGTGACCCAGATGATAAAGCTACCAAGGCACGAATAAAATCAGTGTAAATAGATTTCTAAGTCTGGGCCAGTTAGCAAAATTGGTTAGATCATCAAGTGTTAGAGAAGTTAAGGCCATGATTTTCATCCCAATATAGGCCAGTTCATTGTGCAAAGATGAAAACTCTGCTTCCAGATCACTAATGTCACCGAGTGTGCTGCTGGTTAACAAGTAAACTGAACAAGAGAATACAGAATAACTTAGCATTAAATCAACCACTTTCTAAAAAATAACTCCTATGGATGATCAACAGATAATGAGCTGATCCTACTGTCTTCCTATGTAAAGAGCATGTCTGAATGTGTTGAACATTATAAAATGCATATCAGGGTCACTTAATTATTCTTGAGGCAATTAGATCAGACAGAATGTAATTCAGACATACAGTTACTTATATTTGCATTCTGGTAGTTGATGGCAAAGATTTATATTCACAATCAGAAAAAAAAAAGCAGAAATGCACTGCATAAGTCCTAAGCGCTTTATAAACATTTATAATAATCCTGCAGAAAACAATTCTTAGGACTCCACAGTCTCAATTTCAGTGCATTTCAAAAATACATTAGATATCCTTTAAAGGGTCAAGTTCTCCCTTGGGATAAAGCTAAACATGCTTAGCAGGCATCCAACCATTCGGTTCGAGTCATGTTGCCATTCCTATTTTGTGATGAGTTAGTGGGAGATACTGGACTTGGAGTCCCACACAGAACCCTGATGAGTTACTAATATTTGCTTCCAAAATATTATAACTGAACAGAGTCAGAAAGCACCAGCCATGTTAGCCTACTGCCATGCAACACTGCATTTTTTTCTTGATAAACAGAAAATGCCCTAAACTAATTTTCCATTATTTGAAATTCTGAGCAATATGACTGCCTCACATTTGTCAAATGTATAGTTGACAAAATGTCCATAATACAGAAATTAGGATACCTTACATTGAAAACTTCTGTGCAAATCAAAATGCAAATATTGACAGCATACTAACCTGAGTCACTTGGCAATACCTCTACACTCCAAGCTTCGCTTGTTGTCTCTGATATGGTAGAACCAGTGCAGGGGTCAAGAAGCACTGACCCTGAACCTGGCAGGCACAGTAAACTGCCTAACATGCTCTCTGCTGCTGCACCTGTATAACCAGTGGGGAGCAAAGGGTTAACAAAGATCCTGATGGAAGGGGCAGCGATGTGGAGAAAGGCCAAACACTCAGCTAACAAAATCTCTCTACTCTACCCACAAGAAAGAAGCCAAGGTAAGAGTCATTTCAATCAATAACACCACTAAAAACTCAAATTTCCTACTTTGGTCACAATGACACAAGCTCCTTTTCACCAATTGCCTCCTGTTCACTGTGGACTTTCCATAGAGAAAACACATTGTTAGGTCAAGTCATTTCAACTAGCTTTCATCTTGGTTTTTCGGCAAATTTTACGTGTTTCCCTAATATCTTTCTAAAATTTATAGTCCTACAGGGATTAAAAACACTCAAATAGAGACATTTAACCACAGAAAGTTATACTGGGCAAATGTGTTTTCTTCTGGCACATTAGTCACATATTCAGAGCAATAAAACATATTTGCAGGAAAATGCACTTCGCCTCTGTAGTACTCATTAAACTGCAAAGACAGCTTATTGCTCAAACAGGGCTTACTGCCAGGAAAAATACTACTTTAGCATCTGGAACAAAGTAATGCAAAACCAATTAAGAAATCTATTTACACTACTTAAAAATACAAATAGAAAGGATTAAACATTATTGTACACCTGTGTAAAAATACTCAAGTTCAGTATGCTCTGCTACTTCTGATTAGACCTAATAAAAAAACAATTCTACTTCAGTGCATGAAAAACTTTTGGGAAGAGGTTACTGGTAAAAGTTACCTTTTAAAGTGTGTCGTGGAATAATCACAAATAAAATGATGTCTGGAGCTTGCCTCAACATAATGGGGGGAGGGGATAAAAGTACCCGTGGTGGGTGGGAGAAGAGATGAAATAAACTGGCCGTGTGTATGTATACTTGCTGAAGCTGAGTGATGTCACACGGAGTTCATTATACTACTCTCTCTTCTATTTGTTTGAAATGTTCCATGATTTAAAAAGACAATGAAGATGGTGGTTATTAAGACCGTATGAATCTTTCAGGACTCAAAGAACAGTATCCTAAGAAGGGTGAGTTTTAATATATGTAAACTGTTCATCAATAAACTTGATCCACTTAGTGCTAACACACACACCGTGCTTGTCAGAGTACTGAAGTTCCTCCCATGAAGAGTGGGTGGATACGAATAACTAAACAGCAATCTTCCAGAGATGTTAAAGAGCAGTTACCTGCAATTTCTTGTAAGCGATCTTCATCAATGTTAGGGTCAAAATCACTTCCCAAGACATCTGTACTCCAGGTCTCACTCACTGTTTCTGATATATCCCTATCATCTGTCAGTCCCATCATGTCACGAATTTCAAACTTCCTCAGCTTATCATCAAGATTATCTTGTGTTGTAGCTATCAAAAACAAAATTAAGCACTTAAAAAATGGTAGCACAGCTTTGATTTCTTAATCAACTTTAAGGAACTTGAAGTCTTTGAACTTCCTGTTACATATTTTATACTTAACACTGAGCACACAGTCCCAAAGCACTGGGTTATTCCCTCATGAATATAGTCTTTCCCTCTCTGAACTGAGCTCAGCATATGTACTTCCCTGGTAGATTAAACTGAGGCCAGAAATGCAATCGGTTGTCTCCCTGGATCCACAACCTTTGCGGTGACTTTGATCAAGAACTGGGACACAGTCCCCTCTCTCTGAATTTGCACAGGCCATGCTACTTGCTTTGGCCAAAAGAGTAAGGGAGGAAGTGGGCCAGTTGCAAGGCAAGGCCTCCAGAAACCTTATAAACTTCTGCTCCCTCTCTTTCCCTTGCTTCTCCCATGAGAGCAAGCCTGCTGGAGGACCACACAGAACAAAGCTAAGGTCATCCTAGACCAGCCAGCTCCCCACTGACCAACTGAACCCCAGCTAAGACAAGCAGAGCTCCCTACTTGACCAATGGTGACCGTAGATGCATGAGAGCCCAGTCCAAAATTGAAGAACCACCCAGATGACTCGCAGATTTAAGAGCAAAAATAAACGCTTACTGTTTTAAGTCACTAAGTTTTGAGGTGGTTTATTATGTAGCACTGTGGCAATAATTAACCAATAAATCCATTCTAAAACAATAATGTTTTTCATTTGACTTGGATACACCCCTTCAATTCTAGAGTTTACTCTCTTCCCTTGACTAGTGAGAAGCAGTCTGCAATTTGCCTGAATCCACTCCTTAACTTAGTGTCCACTAAATGTGGCTTGCCAACCATCTACCGCAGAATAACCAGAGGGCTTGCTAAGGAAGCGAGTCTTTCAACTTCTGTCTGAAGCTAATATTATTTTAATCTGTTTAGAAAAGTTAATCCTAATTCATACAATGACAACGGATCCAGTAAAATATAGCATTACTTTTATTCAAGCCACATCTATCCCAACGGGAAACACACTTTTCCTTTCTAATATGGACTAAACCAGGATTTCTAGAAATGAGACATGGGAAATGGATTTTTTTTTGTTTTTTTCAACTCACCAGATCATTTTTTTTTTTTTTTAGCTGAGCCATCCTGCCACCTGTTCGCAGCCCAGCAGCTGCTCAGCTCGGGCTGGGACTTGAACCGCTGTTGCTCAGAGCTCAAACTCTTGAGCAAGCTCTTAACCAACTGAGCCACTCGGCTGGTCCTACCAGATAATTTTTATGCACACTAAAGTCTAAGAATCACTGCCTCAACCCCAGTTGAGGGCATCTGCCCTTGAAGGCCTACAGTGATCTTTAAATAAACACATCCAAAAACTTTTTTCAAATTAATCTTCCTGAAGCGCACTAGGGACCCATCTATTTTTTAATCCTTACCTTGAGCTAGTCCCCTACCTGACAGTTCCTGAGCAAGTATTATGGTTTCCCACCTCTGGGACTTGCTTATACTATTCCTTCACCTACAGTGCCCTAGCTCCATTTCTGCCAGTGCAATGCCAGCCAGGCTTTAAACCAGTATTTTCTTCCAAAAAGCTTTTCTCTACACTTTGAACCACCATCTCTCTCATTTAGAACTGCCAAAGCGTTCTTATGATACTTTCAATCATTTGTGTACCATTCACTCCCTATTCTAAGTTTCTTGAGCCATGAGGTTTTATCTTTGTTTCCCTTAAAATTCAGATATTACAGAATTGAAGTACCAAATATTTAAACAGAATTCAAGCAATTCATTTGAATTAGTCTATACAACTTAAGCCTGAAAAATTCACCAACTAAATTTACCAACTAAACGTATTTCTAAAAAGTGAAGGCACTATGAAGAAATGCAAGTTTAACGGTCATTATATAATCAACTTAAGTGTATTATTCTCTTACTGAACACAGCCAACTTGCATGGAAACACACTGTGCATCTTGTCCCCAGGTAAATTCTTTGCTACTTAAGCCACTGTGCTCAGCCTCACTTTACCTTGCTCATGCTCTAATAGCTGTAGGGCTTCAACACCGTTACTCCCGGAAGGTCCTGCTCCAAGTTCTGACACAGACTCTCCTTCCAGGTCTAGAGAGGATACTGAATTGGAGCGATTTGAAGGACCTAGAGAAACGTTTCTATTGTGAGTGCACTTTTTAAGACAGTCAGGAGCCATAATGCAAGTTTTCATGCCTTGATAAGAGACTAAAGACTAATTAAAGTGCTTTTAATACTGCATTTGTACCTTAAAAATACAAATGGCTTTAAGCCAGCAATTCTGCTTCTAGGAAATTATCCTAAGGAACAATTAAAAAATTCATCTAATTTTTGTTTGTTTCATTCAGGGCTTCTTATGATGTCTGAAAAGTGGAGGCAATCCACATGTTTAATCATAGAAGAATGCTTAAATTACGATATGCCCATTTAAAATGAAAGAAAACAGCCATTAAAAGCCATGTTATTTAAGAATGTTACATTATAAAAGGAAATGTTACTGTTATATTGGTGAACACAAAAAGGTTTCAAAACAGCACAGACCTAATCTTGCTATAAATAAACCAAAATGTTAACTTTTATTAATAGAATGGTGAGATTACAGATGACTCAATTTCTCTTCAGCATTTTCTGGAATGAACGCACATTACTGATGTTTTGAAAAGTTAGGGGAAAAGGAAAAGTTATTACATTTTATGTTTATGTTAAAATGTTAGTAAACGAACTTTTTTCATTAAAACAGTTTGTCCTAGAACATAGGACGACATATTCTCACTTTACGACCTTGGCTTTTAATTCTCTTTTTTATTCCCATTTCCATTGTATTTTCTGCTTCATACAGGGGTGTGGGTGTGTGTGTGGGTGTGTGGGTATGTGTGGGTGTGTGTCTGTGTGTGTCTGTGTGTGTGCGCGCGCACATGCACGCATATGAATAAAGAAAGAAATACAGAACATTAAAGTATAAACAACATCCTGCAATACTAATGAGCCCATTTTTTTTTCCATTCAGACATGCACTAAATCCCTCTAAAGGAGCTCTATAAGCTTTGGTATATATTAACACTAGAGAAACAAAACTTGGTACTATTCAAGTCTCAGTGAAAACTTATATCTTTTCCATTTTATAGTACCAAACGTCTTTTGTAATCTTTCTTTTTAAATTTTATTCAAGAAACAATCTTTACAGCCAACTGTTCAAGATCATTAGAGGAAAACTTCATTACTCTCCTCAGTGAGGGGCACAGATGGTATAATTATAATTTATAAGGCTCCTTTAAAGAACACAAAACAAAATATTACTTGAATCACACAACTCCTTGAATGAAGTAACCCTTCACCTTCAGATATTCCTTCCAGATTATCACTGCAGAGGGAAAAGCGCAAGGTTTTATCAGGTTTACCGTGGAGCTTGTTTTCATCAACAGGGACATCTCCTTGTCCTCCATCCGCAAGTTGCATGTTTAGGACCTGAAACATAAAATGCCATTGGTTTATCACAACTCAAAGATTACTGATGAGAAAACAGACCACAGCAAATGCATATTTAAGTTTTTTTACTCTTAAATTATCCTTTTTAACTAAACACCCATTTCTCTGTTATTCTGATCAAGCTTTTCAATATCTCCAGGAGAAAAGTATAAGTATCAGAAGAACTGAACCTAGGCTGTCCACCACCCTACTGGTGTCAGAGACCGAACAGGCAGCCAGACTTCCAATGAGCAGAGGTCAGGACTATGAGAACCAGAAGGCTCTGGAGTCAGTGGGGGGTCCTTCCGGTTCTGCCATGAGCCAACAATGTGATCTTAGATAAGGTCTTTAAACTCCCTAAACGTCGGTTTCTTCATCTGTAAGATGGTGATAATAGTATGTGTGCCATGGAGTTACTGAGGATTAAATAAAGAAGCACATAAAGCATTTGGCATAGTAAAATGACACAATAAATTTGCAGTACATTTTTTCAAAAGTTAATAACCAAAGTCAATAGGAATAAAACATGTAAACAAATTATCTTGTAGGCACCAGGATTCAGCGTCTAGTCTGAACCTCTCCTCGATCACCATAGACATGGCCACCAAAGTCCACACCAGACACTGAAGTGTGACTTCACAGCCATCTCTAGCTTAGAGCAGATAGCATTTCTATTTGCTAGATGATTTCCAAATAACATAATTACTTCTCACTCCCCATAAGCCTCATAACTCAGCTTTGTACGTGTATCTCCAACTTAATGAAGAATTGAGGGCTTCGTTGGAAGTCACACAGCATGTTTAAGCACACCTGGAACTTGAACTCACAGCCACTGGGTTCCTACGCTATTGCTGGGATATGAAGGAAGAACAGTATCCTTACTTAAAAAAAGAAAAAACAAAACAAAAACCAAAAAAACCTCTAAGTGCTGCTTCAGTCCTGCCCTTAAAGGGTTTGTAATGACTCTATATATTTACTCATGTGACGCTATTAAAATGTTATTTAAAAACATAATTGTTTTCCTATTTGCTTAAAATTAAATGCAGACATAAAAACTTTACATTTTGTATTTTTAACATAGCTTGGACCTTTAAAGTCATAGTGAACGATAGGCAATGAATCTTCAGGCAAAATCCATCCGAAGGTTTAGAGTGGTATGAACGAACAGAAAGCAAAAGGCTCATAGCGCAGCGAAGGCATTCCCCTGCAGGCTACTGTCTTCGAAGCTGCCACTGAGCTGGGGACAGGGGGAAGGTAGCAGGGGAAGGAAAATGCCACAGAACTCTCTGACCGACATTCAGCAGTTTGTTTCCTCATGAAGCATTCCCCTGGTTGTTGTTTTTTATTACATTCCCGAGTTCCTAAAAAGTTGATTCTGACAGTTTTTGCCAGCTTACTGATTTCTGTGTGTGAGTGTGTGTGTGGAGGGACACAGTTTGGGAGTTTGACAGTCCTCTTTTTTTACTAGTGATGCCACAGTTCCAAACACAGCCAATTACCATCATCACTTTATGAACCATTGGAACTGGTCCCTTCTTCCCAGGCCAGGGCCAGGTTTTCTTGAATAATAGTCACTGTTGAATATAAGACGCCACTTCATTTTCAGGATGTCACAACCTATGAGAAGAGGCTCCTACCTTTAGAGAGACAAGATTTCTTCTTTCCTTTTATCCCTGTCCCAAGCTGTTCTGTTTACAAATATCGTAAAATTAATTCCCATACTCCCAATCCCATTTCTTCAAAATATTTTACTTTCTTAGTTTTCTTTTCAGTTATCTCTTCCATTTTTTCCTGACTGGCCAAAGAAAAGAAAGTATTTCTAAAGAATGTTTGGCTCTTTAAAGCAGGAATGTCACTAGTAATCATTAGAAAGAAACAAAACATAAAACACTTCCTAAAGGTCACTGGAAAAGTCCCTTCAATTTCCATACCACAATTTCCAGGTTTCCTGTCTCTTTTACTATTTAGAAAATTCCATTTTGGTGTGAACCTGGTCACCAACTACAGTGCCATAGATGTATTAATGTGAAGGGCCCCCAGAACTGTTCATAGGAAGTTTAAGATTTGATGGTGTGTCATGGTAGGCCCACTGAATGAAAAATATTCATTATATGCATACTGATTTACAGAAGTGACCATTAATCAGAAGAATAGAATCTAAGTTTCTTAACATTAATGGCTATTAAGTTAAATGCAACAATACATTCATACCTCATTTTCTGACATCATCCCTGGAGTAAGCTGGGGACCTGTCCCTAAGGAAATGACCAACACTTCTTCTGGCTGTACCTCCTGGATGGTTTCTTGAGATGGTCCTTCATGGTCCATATGGAAGTCCATTAGCACATTGGTGCGGCTTCTGCTCCGAGTTGCTAATAAAAAAATTTCAAAAAGGACAATTTAGAGAAAGAGAAAATGAAGAAAATCAGACACTAAATACAAAAGTATATTTTCTATTAATGTAGAACATTTGCGCATGCACAAAAAAAATGGTGAGAATATGAGTATGAAAAAGAACCTATATCTCCCCATTCTATTGATGACTAATATAGATTCTCCTTCAAAACTGATAATCAGAAACAATGATTCATGTTCACCTGACAGGAAATGACACACAGATGATCACACCTGCAAAGCAGCAAACACATCCCAATCAATTTATGACTTGGGATGACAGGAAAAGTGTTACCTTATTTCTTATCTTTTCAAGATACCTTCAACTATTTTTTCTATTAAATGATTTAACTGCCACAGGTCTCCCACAGTAATAACTGAATTTATAGGCATTAGATAATTTCATATAGAAATCTGACAGCCATATAAAGTAATATACATTAATTAGGCAACTGATGACAAAACCAGAATCAGTTTTTGAAAACACAATGTTTTTCCTGAAATGTAATAACCTCTTTCAAAAGTTGGAGAGATTTTCCTGTGTTTGAATACAAATTTCCTTTCTGCTTACTAGAAACACTCTAATACAGGATCTAATTATTTTGGGATTTTTTTTCCCTAGTACATTTTTTTCTAAAATAATCCATCCTACAAGAACTGAAGGATTTAGATCAGCGGTTCTCAACCTTCCACAGGGGTCACCTAAGACCATCGGAAAACACATATTTTCGATGGTCTTAGGAACCGAGACACCGCTCCTCTATCCGTCTCCAGGCCCACATGCAGATATGCCCACATACGAGTACCTAGCGACCCCTGTGAAAGGGTTGTTCGACCCCCAAAGGGGTCGCGACCCACAGGTTGAGAACCGCTGATTTAGATAGCTGGTGATAATTTCTCTGTAAGTTTTAGTCTTCTGTGGTAAGTTTCAATTTTCTTTCAGAGGTCTATAAAATTCAATGCAACCAGATGACTAACTAGAAATTCTATTTCAGTGCAAAATAATCAAAAGTATAGACATAAAGCAAAAACACTCTATAGTAATAAGTCTTTCAACTCCACTTTGAAAGCCGACCTACTTAAAGACAGAAATATAAAGAATCATCTTCTCTCCACAATGCTGTAGATCTGTTCATTAATCTCTTACTCTCAAAATTCAAAGCACACATCAACTTTCAAGTCAGATTCACTCACACCTTTATTTGCTGACCCTTACTATCTTCCACTGAATGAACTTAAATTCAACTTCACAAACAACTCCATGAATCTTAAGTAACAAACTTTATAATTTATGAAAGCACAAATAATACAAATAATTCATGTAGCAATTTACACAAAGAAAAGCAACATGCACATGGAGCTGTTTCTTAACGAAAGTTGTAAGAAGAGGAAGAACAGCCTATTACCCACCAAATGGGGTTACTAGAGTAATATGAGCAGTAAGATTGGTGGCTGAGGAATCCCAGGCAGTGATGGCTGCTAACTGTTGTCCTGGGTTGGGAAAGCATTAAACAGAAAGAAAATCAACCCTCTGAATAATGGACAAATTTTTAAAAATATGAAATTCAATGACCAGGTCATATGACTATACAAAATATTGGGCAAACATTTGAAATTTACTTTCCATTATCCCCATATTTAATGACACCTTCCAGATGACAAGAAATGAAAGAACTAATGCATAGGAGAGAATAATGAAGAACAAAAAAAATCTCTAATTTACCAAATCATTTCTTTCTCTGTTAAAAAAAAGTACAAATAGCCTATATTAAAAATCATTAAGTGTCAAATTTCTTTTTTTTTCTATTTTTAATTCTGAAAATTGACATTTTGGGATGATGAAAACCTGAGAGTTGAAGAATATGATACCATGTTCCTCTTGATGATATTATTCCATATTATGTTAAATGTAGGTAGATTAATTTTAAGAAACTAACAGCTCTTAACAAATCAGCTCAAGTTTAAAAATGAAATCCTATTCTTCAAAATGTATAAAATGTAACTATTCATTTTCACCAATTATCGCTGAGGTCCTCATTAGCATTAAAAAATTGGCAGTAAACTACTCTGCTCCCTTGGCCTACACACTCTTTTCCTGTCTTGTTTACTTTGTGTAACTAACTCCCATTCATCCTCAAGAGACAGTGCAGGCGTCACCTGCTCCGGGATCATCTTCTCCTGATGGCATCACCACCCAGCTAAGTTAGGTGTGCTGGTAATCCTTCCTCCATGCTTACCGCCATCACAATTAGTACACTGAGGGTACTGGTCTCTTCTTGTTCTCTCCAACCAGACTATCGGCAACTAACTCAAAAGTATGGACATGTCCTAAGGTTTCTGTATCCCAGTGCCCCACCTGCAGGACAGTAATTATAATACCTACTCATTTTGTGTACAAAGTGATTACCCAGTGTCTGGTACACAGTATATGCTCAATTAATTTTTCGGTATACATCTATAGATAATAGGTGTTAACTAAGTGAATAAAGCTTAATTAAGCCTAATTCTTAAATAAATTAATAAGTGACAAAATAAAGTGGAA